AAGTCTGCTGACCTGCCTGTAGTTCTGGGGGAATAATCCCTCTATCCTGCCTCCCTGCAGCTCTGCAGAAGAGCAAGATTTGCTCTAGTTCTCTGTAGTCAAAGTAGATCTTCTGCAGTTGCAGTAGTCTGTGTTTTGGTTCTGCATTTTAAAGTGCTAATGACAAGGGCCTTTTCAGGAATAATGACAATAATTATCCCAGGAGAACTTTATAACCAGCATGAGTGTGGGTCAAGGGGTTCCACTTAGAGCTTCACCTGTGTGAATAAAGACAGGATTCAGAGCCATTAGTTAAAGCTCTCATGTTCTGTCTGGGTGGCATTTATTGAACAGATCTTGTGCTGTGAGCAGAATGTTTGCAAAGGCCCTCACCTCTGACCAGCCTGATTTTTGTTTGTCTTTCAGTGATGAACCGGTGGCAGATATTGAAGGACACAGCATGAGAGTGGCACGTGTGATGTGGCACCCATCTGGGCGGTTCCTGGGTACCACCTGGTAGGGAGGTTTGGTTATTTGCTCTCAGACATTACCATTAGCTTTCCAGCTGGTGGCCAGTGGGTGCTGTTGCTTGCCCAGAGGAGCCCAGTGTGGGCAAGGGTTGGCCATTGTCAGCAGCTGGGCTGTTGCAGTGTAAAGAACATCAAGTCATTTGGATTCCTTTCTCAGCCCCTCATGAGAGACACTGTTGGTCCCCAGCAGGAAATGAAACACCCACAGAGTTAGTGAAATACCCTGTTGTTCTCCTTGGAGATCCGTTGAGTTGGACACATGCTTTGTTTTGACAGCTACGATCACTCGTGGCGCTTGTGGGACCTGGAAGCTCAGGAGGAGATTCTCCATCAGGAGGGGCACAGCAAAGGGGTCTATGACATTGCCTTTCACACGGACGGGTCTCTCGCGGGCACTGGGTGAGTTTGCTTTGCACTGGGACCAGACACTAAATGGTATCAGGGTTTTGTTGCTGACTGATGCCGGGTGCCCCAGTGATGCTGCTGGTGAGGCTGAGCTCTGGCACTTGTGGAAGGCTCTGGTGGGTAACACTTGGATTCTCACTTCCTAGAGGACTGGATGCTTTTGGACGGGTGTGGGACTTGCGCACGGGACGCTGCATCATGTTCCTGGAAGGCCACTTGAAGGAGATCTATGGGATTAACTTCTCCCCTAATGGGTAAGAAGGGAGTTTGTGTGGTATACATGGGAGCTCTGAGTACAAAGCTCCCAACACCACCTTCGTCCTCCACCCTTTGGCAGATACCACGTTGCAACTGGCAGCGGTGACAACACGTGCAAGGTGTGGGACCTGCGCCAGAGGAAGTGCATCTACACCATTCCTGCCCACCAGAACCTGGTGACCGGGGTGAAGTTTGAGCGTAAGTACCTCCTGAGCTGAGGTGGCAGGGGATGGGGCAACTCAGAAACACACCTTCAGGCCAAGAAGGTCAGGATTTGGGATGGTTTTATCTGCAAATCTCAACTCTTCCTTGTTCTCATCCTATGTTGCAGCCAACCATGGAAACTTCCTGCTCACGGGTGCCTACGACAACACGGCCAAGATCTGGACTCACCCCGGCTGGTCCCCACTGAAAACACTGGCTGGTCATGAGGGAAAGGTGATGGGACTGGACATCTCCCTCGATGGCCAGCTGATAGCAACCTGCTCCTATGACAGAACCTTCAAGCTGTGGACAGCAGAGTAGCTCAGAGCTGCTGCTCATGAACTGAAGGAGACGTTAGTGGCTGGCAGCTAGGACAAGTTTTTTTATATTAAAGAAAGGAGTCAGCTACTGCAGCGTGTGTCAGGGCAGCTGGTCACTGGCTAGGCTTGGGTTGAGGTGGTTGTGAAGTACCTGTGTTGCTGAAGGCAAATCTTGGATAATGTTTTCCTACCCTTTAGGATTCTGGTTTCATACTGCAGGTACTTTCTGTTGTCATTTGGAGGTGATCCATCAGTTTCCACCCTCCCACGTCAGGCTCACGGGTTTCCTCCAGTCCATCTGTGGCTCACCACACACCCCTCAGGTGTGGTGTGTTCAGCCTCTGCTCATTCCCTTCTTACCTTCCATTTCCAGGAGCCTATGGAAGAAGTTTGTGGCTTCAAACTTGATTTGCATTTAGAGAAGGAAAAACTTGGTGCCAGCATTAGAGGAACATGGTACCCTCTGATTGTGGAGGTCTCTGTGCCCTTTGTGTTCACCCACAGGAGATGTTAAAGGCCAGGGAAGTTTCTTTTCCATGTACCACCCCATGTCCTTGATGAACTGGGTGTCTCAAATTCACATAGGCATCTCCTCTGTAAGTTTTTGCTGTGTCTCACCCAAGATGATAGAAGAGTGTTTCAGTATAGGGCTGTGCAACACTGCAGGAAGCTTTCTTACTTGATGTTTATTCTTTAGATTGAGGCTTTGCAAACATGTTCTAGAAAATCAAAGTATGTTTTGAATGTGCCTCTGGGTCTGAGTGAGGAATGGAGAAATTACAGGTACTTCACAGCACAGTTTGCTTTCTGTCTGCCACCATAAAAACCCTTCAGGAGAAAAGAGGAGACTGATTCATGACCTCTCTGTCAGCTGGGGCAGCTCCATGTTCCTTGGGAGCATGAACATGGTTCTGTTCTCAGCATCTGCAGTGGAGATTGTGTTTTAAGAAAAATAACCTGAACCCACTCACACAGTTACTCACAAGTTACTGTTCTTCAAGCAGTGTAGTACTGGGGTGGCACCTGCCACATGCTCTATGCCAGCTCTTGTTTACTCCCAGGGAAAACACTACAGATGAGAGGCCAGAAAGTCAACCATGTCCTTGGCTGCAACAACAGGAGCATGGCCAGCAGGTCCAAGGAGCTGAGCTGCTCATAAAGTTGCACTGGGCACAGTCATACAGGTTGTGACCACCTCTCGTGGTGACTTACCCCCTTCCAAGAGCAGCTGAGTTAAGGCTGACCTGGCACCCCTCAGTGCTGCTCCTTGGGGTTCCTCCTCCCTCACCCCCAGCACGTGTAGCTGCCTGTGGGGAGGTTTTGTAAGTAATACACGAGGCTTGCTCAGGAACAAGACCTTGGCCTGGACACATCCATGATTTGACTGTTCCAGACAGCTCCAGTACCTCCCCCCACCCACAAACTGGAACCAGTGAGTCCCCAGCCCCGCTGATGACACATGGCTGCTCTGCAGGTGCAAGGTGGTGCTTGGGGAGCCACATCCCCTCTGCTGGAAAGGTTGTAATGGTCAGAATGCTGCCACCTCCTCCAGCGCCGGCTCCACCCTGTCACGCAGCTGGAGGACGTGGATTCCCGAATTGGAAGTGGCACAGAGCAGCGTGGAGCTGTCACAGGCAGCCAGTGAGGACAGTGGTCCTGCTCCATCCAGGTACAGTGTGGCCAGGCAGGCTGAGGAGGGAACAGGGAAGTTGCTGGGGAGGTGAGACACAACCACACCAACCTCCCACCTCCCGGCTCTGCTCTGTGTGTCTGCCTGCCCACACCCCCCCCCCATCCCCACATTGGGATGTGCCCTTTGGAAGAGGGACCCTCCATCCCTGTAAGCCCCGCAGTCAGTCTGTGTGTTGCCCAGTCAGGCAGTGGCCAGCAAAAAGGAATCCATGCTGAGGTTGGGCTCTGGCCCTTTCCCTGGAAAGGAGGCAGGGATGGATAGCATGGACAGACCCCACTGGGCAGAGCTGCAGGGTTGTGTGGACACATTTCCAACCTGCCTTTTTCTCCCAAATTGCTTATTTGGAAAATCTCTTCTACATGCTGTGCAACACAATGTGCAGTTTTGATTAAGTCTCCAAAAGAGAAGAAAAGTAATTTCTGGGGGGCAAGCAGAAGCCCCTGGTGTGCTCTGGGGCATCTCCACCCTGCCCTGCAGCTGGATTAGAGGAAATCCCAGAGATCTCAGGCTTCAGCATGCTCATCACTGCATCACTGCCAGGAGACAGAAAAAAGCAGCAGGTCTGTTAGCCAGAGTGGGGTGCACGGAGCGGGCAGGCCCTGCCCTACCTGCAGTGTCTCGGTCCCAGACCTTCACGGTGCCATCACATGAGGCTGTGGCGATGCTGGGGGTGAGCGCGGGGCCCCAGGGGAGGAAAACACCCGAGGTCGTGGTCTGGAAGTGCCCTTTGTACTCGCACACGTGGCTTCTCGTCTGCCGCAGGTCCCACAGCTGCAGGGGACAGGCAGAGGTCAGAGCTGGATGCCCACAGACATCGCTCCAAGGACACAGTGACTTGTTAGTGAGACTATGGCAGACTTGGGACTCTCTAATTGGGATGGATAATGAGGATGGAACATTTGACATTCTTTACTTAAGGACATGCTGGAAAGGTTGAACTTGGGGATGTACAGAGCCAAGATGTTTCACATACTTTGCCAACTTGGCAAGAAGGTCCTGAGCTGTCTTCATTATAGTACTAAGAATCACACCTACAGGTCTCACCCTCCTGATGCTCACACACAGGGCTGAGAACCTGCAGGACTGAACCATGGTATGGAAACACCTCCAGCACGGCGGTTCCTGACAGGCTTTCTGTGAGAGCCTCGTGCTCCTCAATGCCATGAAACAAAATCCCAGGGCTTTAATCAGGAAGAGCAGCTGCTCAGATAATCCCTGAGCACCAGACTTGCCAAAGGGACAGGCTGGAAGATACCAAGGCAAATACAGCTGGAGCAAAGAGGTCCTCGGAGCGCCACCCTACTTACTGCCCTCTGCTGTATGCCATGGACACGGGAGCAGAAAACCTACGCCAGGCAGCAGGCTGCGGTGCTGTCCCGCTTCCCGTGGTGCTGTGTCCCACTCACCGTGGCCTCGCAGCCCTCGCCCGCGGTGCCGCTGCTGGTGCTCAGGCAGAGCCGCCCGTCGGGACTCACGTCACAGCAGGTCTGGATGTGCTGCTTGGTGGGGAAGGTGTGAGCCACCTCCAGCTGCCGCATGTCCCACAGCCTGGAAGGAACCGGGGAGGGGAGGGGGACTCTGATGCATCATTGCCATGATGGGCTTCCCTCCATGCCCCGTCCACCCTCACACTGTGCCCTTGCTGCTGTCCCCTTCGCTCCCCCCAGCAAGCCAAACTCCCAAGGCTTTCCCTGCATCCTTTCATTCATCCATTCAGGATCCAGCTCCAGCCACTGGAGCTGTGCTGAGCTTTATGAATTCTCCTTTTTGCCCAATCACCACCAGTGCTCCTTACAGCCACCAATGCCCCCGTCCTGGCTTCCCCTGGCAACAGACCACGGCTCCAAGACCCAGGTGAACTGGAAGGTGGCTTCTGGCCATGCCAGCAGGGTACAGGAGGCCGGGTGGCCAGGACAACCAACCAAAGAAACAGCCTTTTGTGCTCTGGGATCTTCCATAATCCCAGTGTGCCCCAGGCTGCGTGGCCACATGTAGAATTTCATATAATCATAGGATCCCAGCCTGGTTTGTGTTGGAAGGGACCTTAAAGCTCACCCAGCCCCAACCCCTGCCACGGGCAGGGACACCTTCCACTAGAGCAGGTTGCTTCAAGCCCCTGTGTCCAACCTGGCCTTGAACACTGCCAGGGATGGGGCAGCCACAGCTTCTCTGGGCACCCTGTGCCAGCGCCTCACCACCCTCACAGAGAAGTACTTCTGCCTCAGAGCTCATCTCAATCTCCCCTCTGGCAGGTTAAAGCCATTCCCCTTGGCCTGTCCCTCCAGGCCCTTGCCCAAAGCTCTTCTCCAGGTTTCCTGTAGCCCCTTTGGCACCAGAACACACTTATTTACCTGACTGTTTTATCCTCTGAGGTCTGGATGACATAAGGCTCCCTGGGCACCCAGCACAGATGTGTGACCTGCAGGAAGGAAAAAGTGAGCAGAAGCCACCTCTGTGCAGCCCAGGCTGGTGTCCTGTAGACACAAAGCCACCGAAGCCACATCCTCTCCCTCCTCATGCTGATCTGTGAGCAGAAAACAGATGAAGCTTTTCCTGCTTCCCACCAATGCTGCTCCTTTCCCAGGTTCAGTTCCATTGTGGTACCTGGTCGGTATTTGCAGGCAGGGAAGAGCCAACAGCTCAACAGGACACAGAGCCATGGCAACAGGAGATTGTACCTGTACCACTGCTGGGCTGGCACAGAGGGAATGCAGCCCCCGCTGCACAACGTGCTCCAAACAGCCCCCATCTGGAGCATTAATAAATTGCTGTGTGGCTCTTGGCATCTTTGTGGTTTTTACCTGGAGAACGGAGTAACAAGCCTCCAGCTCTGGTCTCCCCAGGTGCACGGGCAACCTGTGCAGTGCCTCAGGGGCTTCCCAAAGCTCCAAGCTCAGAGCAAGTTCACTTCACAGGGCTTCATGTGAGAAACTGGCACCGAGGTGCCATGACAGAATGCAAGTACCAGCGGCTCCTACCAGGTTCCTGAAGGTGATGACTCTGCGCAGACACTGTCCGGTCTCCGTGTCCCACTTGCACATGGTGTTGTCTCGTGAGCCCGTGCACAGCTGGGAGGCATCTGCAACCACATGTTCACATTGACAAAGTCAGGAAAGGTTGTTAAGAAATCCCTGGGGAGTGGGAGCGTGTTGTCCCTCACCCGGGCTCACAGCCAGGCCTGTCACAACCAGGTCATGTGCCACAAAGCGCTGGTTTGGTCCTGATGTCCCCTGGAGCTCCCACATCATTGCTGTCTTGTCCCGGGATGCGCTGAAGACTCTGTTGGAGTCAGGGGCTGAGGTGACCTGGGAGGGACAGGATGGGAGAAGCCGCTTGCCCTCACCACCAGCCCAGCAGGGACAGCACCATGCTCCTGCAGCTGTGGCAGAGCCTGAGATGTGCAGAAACATGACTGGGGAGAGCCTGACCTTCAAACCCTGTTTTGTCTGTGCTGGTGTGCACATGCCGGACTGCCCGATGCTCACACTGAGGCCCTGCTCCCTTCTGCTCTGCTGGACTCCAGCACAGGCAAACCCCAACACAGTGGGACCAGGGGAACCGCTCAGCCCCAGTGCGGTCACTGCAGCCCCTGCTGTGACCATGCAAGTTGTGGTGGGGAGCATCAGGCAGCATCCTTCCAGGACCCCCATCCTCCCAGGTTGCTCCGAGCCCCTGTGTCCAACCTGGCCTTGAACACTGCCAGGGATGGGGCAGCCACAGCTTCTTGGGCGCCCTGTGCCAGTGCCTCAGCACCCGCACAGGGAAGAGCTTCTGCCTAAGAGCTCATCTCAATCTCCCCTCTGGCAGGTTAAAGCCATTCCCCTTGTCCTGTCCCTACAGACCCTTGTCCAAAGCCCCACTCTGATAAGAATAAACACCAAAATAAAGGTGAGTCTTGTGGAATGGGACCTGACAGCAAGTGGACAGCATTTCTGGATCAAAAACTTGACCTAGCAATTCATCTTGAGGTTTTGCTCTTGGCAGGGAAGATAAGCACATGTCCAAGATCCCCGAAGCCCTGTTTATCCTGGATGCAACCACTCTGTGCCACTTCCCTGGACAGTGAAGCATCAGTTGAGACCTTGGGAAAGATGTAACACATCCTGCTCCCCCAGTCCCTCTCTCTGACGGAGCAACATGAGCCCCCTGTGGATGACAAACCACTGCTCCACAATTCCTGGCTCCCCAGTTTCTGAGTGGTGGAGCACAGGAGACCCCCCACACTCAGCCCGTTGCCACTCACCTTGGTGACCTCCCGCTGGTGGCCGGTGAACCGCCGCAGGACAGCCCCAGACCTCCAGCTGCAGACAGCCACGCTCTGCAGGAGCAGGACAGGCAGAGTAGCCCAGCCCGTGAGGGATGGACACACACCTCCTTGGTCATGTTATTATGAGCCCTGTGCTTGGAGAGGGAAGGGGTTCTTCTGGTTTGAGCTCCTATAGCATACACAACTGTCTTGAGAGCCCATCCACTGCCAGGTACTATAAGGGCCAGTCCAGTGATTCCAAACCTGGGTGAGAGCATTTGATGTGATCTGAGCTCTGGAGATGTTCTAAAACTTGATTCAGTGTTCACCCTCACTATAAGCTCATCTTGTCTTCCTGAATTCAGAAACTAACCAAGTTGTTACCACTCATGGAAATGTTTAAAACTCACACTGAAACCCCATTTTCCCAATCTGTCAATACACTTTCCTACCTGTGACCGCGCCGTGCCCCGTGGCAGGAGGAACCTCACCTTGTCCCTTGCTCCAGACACGCACAGGTCCAGTTTGAGAGCAGCCACTGAGGTGACGGCATCACTGTGCATGGGACAGTGCTGTGGAGGGGATTGAGCCGGTCCCACCTCTCCCATGGAGCCATCAGCCCTGCACAGTCAGAGACAGCAAGCTGCTGGTGCTCTGGGCAGAGACAGGATGCTCTGGGCACAGTCAGGATGCTCTGGGCACAGGCAGGATGGTCTGGGGCCCAGACAGGGTGCGACAGGGCCCGGCCGGACGCT